AGGGTACATTAAAGAAACCACGCCTTAAATTATCATATGAATCATATGAGGAACCAATGCGTAGGGGCCCTACGGGCCCTACTATATACAATTATGTTAGGCCATCAACAACAGAATTAGATTTTGAACAAGATATATTTTAATTTACATAAATAATATATAATAGTAATTATATATGATTTACAGAAAGAAAAAGACAACTACGACTTTTAGAAAAAAACGTTATACAAAGCCTAAAAGATCATTAGCCTCTACAGTTAATAAATTGATACTTAGGCAAGCAGAAACAAAATTAAATACTATTACCTTAGAATTTCAAGCATTTAACTCAGGCATTACAGCAACAGGAGATTTCCAATACGTATTACCAGTAATACAAGTAGGAACAGGCAGCAATAATAGAATAGGGGATACAATTAAACCAATAAAATTAGTAATAGAAGGCTATATAGCATACCGCATGGATTTAACAGGCGGAACTATAAATGATCAATCACGCCTTCTAGGTGCTAGGTTATTTGTATTCCAGGATAAGGCAACCAGAGCATATCAAAATAACATATTCAATTATAATCTTTTAGATAATGGTTCAAGCTCTGAAAGTTATACCGGTACAGCTAGAAACTGGATTCAACCACATAACGAAGACCAGTTTAAATGGTTTGCAGATAAGAAATTTAAGATATTAAAACCGTATGGTTATACTAATATTGCTAACGGTAGCACAATTACCCCTGCCATTGCAAACATGAATACTACATTATTTCATAAATTTAAAATAACAATACCTTCTAGCAAAATGCCTGCATCAATACGCTATGATAGCACAGATAGCACTTCAACGCCTATTAATTTTTGCCCTATGCTAGCGCTAGGATATTCAGATTTAATGAATTATTCAGCTGATACATTAACAACCCAATTAGGAATGTCTTACCGATCTACATTATATTTTAAAGATTGTTAATCATTTATAATATGAAAATAAACGAAGTTTAATCAAACGAAGTTTTAGCAAACTTCGTTTGATTAAACTTCGTTTAATACTCTCAGCATGTAGGCAGCAGCACCGGACACGGCGGAACGTCTTTAAGACGTGGCCGGGGCTGCTGCCCTCAGTCTGTGCGGGGCGAGGGGACGGAGACACGCATAGACAACACCCAGGCAACAAATAAAATTTAATTAATTCACAATTAAATAAAAAACCTTTAGAAACCATAATTTACTAAAATTTATTAAATTATGATTTACGGTATTTTTCCCAAAATAATTATCTCATATCTTTTATATAGTTTATGACCTTGACCAAAACTATACACACCCCGCAAATACCGGAGTGTGGATATGAGTTATTTGATCCAGAAAAGGATTCCCACACAGGCGATGCTTGCATTGCCCTTTTGAACAGGCTAGAATCACAATTAGGATATGATAAAGAACCTAAATATCAGATTCCTCCTCCTGGATCAATAACAGATGTAGATATCATTGCACCTCCTAAGGGTGCTTATTTTCTAACTCAAACGTTAAAACCTGCATTTTACGCACTCAACGCCAGGAGACAAATATCAGAATCAAAGAGGATATTTAAAACAGTTTTAAAAAGGTATTCATCAGCTTTTCAATATACTATTGAATTAACAAAAAGCGCCAACGTCCATTACCATGCCTGGATTCAATTTACGGAAGGAGACCTTAATATTAGTAAGATGTGTTTATTAGATGATCTCAAAAAGTTAGGCAGAACTGATATGTCATTAATAAGGCATCATGAAGATGTAAAAAATTATATGATTAAGGATTTACAAAATACAGATAGAATTCTTAATTACACTAAAAAGGGTACATTAAAGAAACCACGCCTTAAATTATCATATGAATCATATGAGGAACCAAGGCGTAGGGGCCCTACGGGCCCTACTATATACAATTATGTTAGGCCATCAACAACAGAATTAGATTTTGAACAAGATATATTTTA